TCGAAAAGGTATCTTTGGGAAAATCTAGTTTCGCCCATCGATTCTCTTGGTTATTCTCGGTCCGAGTTAATGGACTCGAAACTTCAAGTACAATACAGGCGCCACAAACGGCCGTGGTCCTATTATAGTAGTATTTGAAATTCAAAAGACATTCCCCGTCAATCATGAAACATTTTCACGACTCTCTTCTATTATTATTCTTTCAATAAGTTGCATACTGATTCGCCCGAAAAGTTGTTTCGTTAAAAAAAAAAAATTCATTTGTAAGGGTGTTAAAGTGGCACTTGACTCAGTATTTTGCCAATAAAAAAAACAGAACTTCTACGAACATATGATTTCGAAGCTACCAGAAAGATGTCAGAAAGTTGTTCTTTTTTCTTACTTTAGGCGAAACTGAGCGAACCTAGTTGATCCAAGAATTATCGCAAAGAATAAATATCTTCGTAGTTAACCCCTTCGCGACTAAGGAAAACATTTTTTCTAATTTTAAAATTGACGATTGTCGTGTTTAATTATAGGTTAGTTTTGGTACAAAACGCAATTTGCCAGCACGCAACATGCAAAAAGCGAAAAAAAAAAATGAAAAGATGCGCAAATTGTGCCAAACACATAATATATGTATTATACTATGTGCAATGTTCATCTTTATTTTTCACAACCAAAAGAATATCATAATTAGCACATCATTTTGTATAGTAATTTTATTTCATAATTGTATTATTTTGGTTAACATTTTGTTATGATAAACCAATAAATAAAAAACACTGCATAATAAGCCTAACCATAATTTGAGTCCGTTGAGAAAAATATTTCCCATAAAATTCCAAAAAAACTACACATTATTATGTATTTCCCTTATGATTTTTATTTATCTTACGTACAAACATACTAAAATAGACAGTTACATACTAATATTTACTCTTAGCAACCTTATGGTCCTGTAAAGGTTAATGAAATCAATATTTTCAAATGAAAACAAGAAATCAAGAAATATCAAGAGATAGTATAGAAATAGTAGAAATAGATAGTAGAAATATCAAGTGAAATCAAGAGATATATATTTATTCGTCGAATGAAAATCTTCACCAATCTGAAAGTATCTTTAGGATAATTTTAAATAGGAACATAGATGAAAAAAAAAATGGTTGGGAAGGTGCCTAGGTTGTAGTCAGAAACGATTAGGGCAACTTTGCGAATCCGATTTTTCGCGAACTTCGTATTTTAATGATTTTCAAGCGTGTATCGATCGTCGAGGCACGTCTCGAGTATTATGTTACACCCTGTATTTCGGGATACTTGTAGCGGCGACGGGACGAGAAGCTGTTCGCCGACGAAATTACTGACGGTTACATCCTTTGGGAAGCCTTTGAATTTAGGGTGCAGCCCGCCGTATGAATAATGCATTGGGAAAGACTGTGACGCGGCTGCCGGTCGCTCGAGCCCCCTGGTAATTACATTGATAATCACGTTAAGATTACATTCACGGCCGTTACACCGCCATTACTCGGAAATATCTAATTCCTCGTATATCCGAGTAATTGATACCCCGGAGGCTCGATCATTTTGATTTCTCGAGCGTCTTGAGATGAAGATATTAATTGCGGGCCTTTTTAATTGTACAATGTATCCTGTGACTGGTTGCACTGTGTCAGGAATACGGTGATTACACGCAAGAAGATAAATAATAGAGGGATCAAATCTCCGCAGAAAATTATTGGAGTTTTATTTTCTGTGTAATCGGTAGACAGCGAATTTTTAGGCGAGACAATAGTTGTTTTCATTAATTGCAACATACGCCAGCCACACCGACATTTCTTTCTTTCTGTAATTATTTTATCGAGTACAAAATAACGCGACAGTATCTTTTAAATTCCTTAAATGTTTTTACTGTTTCCTGTTCGGTCTATTCATTTTTGTCATCGAATTTCCATGTTTATAGACATGTTTCAAAAAAGAGTGAAATTTTTATGGGTGAAAGACCGTCGTTTCGGTAAAGAGGCAAGGGGGCCCAAATTGTCCATTTTTGTTTACAAGCCGAGAGACAATTGGAGAGAATTTACTGTAGAGAATTTACTTCTATTCTTCTACCGCAAGGATCTCCGCCCGAGATAATATTTATAAACATCGACAAAATGATAGAAACATTCGGTTTACTAAATACTGTCCGTTGCTCAGAAGAAGTCAGTTGTTTCGGCACAGGGCAAAGGGGTATTCCGCTCGCTCCGTCTGACCTGCACGCCCGTAGTTCTCCTTTTTCTATGACCTCTCGAAACCCACTTCAATTGGTAAACGAGAAGACCCACAAGCTAATCGACGAGTGGAATAAGGAGGATCGCTCGCTCGCTCCACCCAATCACGTCTCTTGCTCAGCACGTAACTTGGGCAATAATAATCGAAAGTCTGAAAATTAGAAGAGACTAGGTAGAGTGGGCGACCGATTCCCCTTGCCCCTTTCCCCTTGCGTCATTTAGTTTATGCGTAGTGTCTCATTTTCTCTTTTCCCGATATTACCTTTAAGTTCATAACATTGACGTAGGCGTAAAATATCCGTAAAATTCCTATACTCGAATAATACATTGCAAGCCTGCGAACATGAGAATAATTCTGCACGAGCAAAACACATGATTGTTTTCACTTATACTTCATAAATATTGAACACATATTTAAAACGTGTATGATAACCGTTTTAAAAAATCATATGATACAAGGTAAATATAAAAAATACGTGTATAGTACAGCACGTTTGCTGCACAATGCAATGAAAAGTTAATCAAGATGCTAATTAGTAATTAGTAATTACAAATAATCATGTGTTCATCGGAAGAATCTGAAGTTAATGCTTTACGGGTAAGTCACCGTTCTTGCATCCTGTATTTGTTGCGCCTGTTGCACTTTGTCTCCATTGTTCTACGTGACTCCTACGTCCCTGACTCCTGTCGTGGGTCTCATTCGCCCGTGGTCTCGTAAATAATACACACACAACGCGCAAGCACACGCGTCTGATGTGTGCCGAGCCGAAATGGCGACCACAGGAGTGCGAGACGACAGGGAGCCAGGAGGCGTTGTTTGTATTTTTTCGGCCGAACTCGAGTCCCTCGTTTCGTGGAAATTCAGCATTGGGGCGGGAACGTTAACATTGGTAAATTGTTGAAAATCGGTCTTACACTTTTCTCAGCGGACTTCTTTTGAGCAATGGATAACATTGTACCGAATTTTCCATAATATAGTTTTTTAAAAATGTACTAGACTTATATATTTGGGGAACTAAATATAACCTTTGTTTTTAACACTAGATTTACGAAGCTGAAAAACAGCTGTATTATATTAGTTTATAAAAGTAACATAAGACATTTATTCTGATTTTTGACAAGTATTACTATAACATTTGCCGCAAGTAACATATAAATTAAATAAATAACTCATAAATGTACCTTTACGATATGAATAATCGTAAATTAAGAAATTACTGACCCGTCATTTTGACAATTTCCGTAAATCTAGTGTTAATCATCAGACTATTTAGCAACGTCCTTATCGATTTAATCACAACACATACGATTAAAATAGAGCTTATTTGTTTATTTGAAGGTTTAAATGCAGCACACTTCGTTGTTCTTCCGATAATTTTCTAAATGTGCAAAGTGGAGATAGATGTTATCTATCGGTCAATGAAAATTGAATATCGCAGCTGTGGAAATGAACCTTGGGCTCGATTTCCGGGCTGTTTTTCAATCGGAACGATCCATTTCGTGGAGAAACGAAGAGCCGTTTGGTTTTGCGTTTTCGTGCGGACGACTTCTGGAGAAGAAACTTTTTCCATTACGGATCCATAATCTTGGACTTTATTGCTTCGGAAAGCGCGGCACGCGGCTTCGGGGAACTTTAACGACGAATTCTGACCGAACAGAAACAGCAAATGCGTTGCTACGAATATCGATTCGTTGTGTGCGGTAACTTTCGCCTCGGGACGTTTAAGCAGCTAGATTAATTACTTTGTGCGATCATTCGTTGCTCGCGATGCCCCGGCAAATAGACTTGCGAAACAGTAATACCAACAAAACCTGAAAACTTTCAACAATTTTGCATTCGAATCTTACAGTTTCGACGAACCGTATGTAAGATAACTGCAAAATTATCCGCGATCGATTATCTTCGATTTTTATGCTGCGTTCGAGTTACCATAGTTCTACAGGAAATATTCCACATTTGATCTGTGGTTGTTGCTTTTAAAATAAATTTCGTATACAACAATTTTATACGGTTGTACGACAGTTGCGGATTTATAGAACGATTATCGAATGATTTTTCCGACTCCGAATATGATTTTATAAAAGCGAATAATGTTTATGCAGGTTGTAATTAATAACTCGGTGAACACAATAGAAGGGTAAGCTATGCAAATTATTTTATGAAATTTCCCTATTTTAAGTAAATTTCATTATAACGATTGCAAAATATATTGTTACATAATATAATAGATAAGAGTCGATCATCCTCAAAATATACTGCATTCTACATATACATACAGTCGCATGTAATTTATTAACTCTTCTCACTCGAAATTATTAACTCCGAAACCAATACATTTCTCTCGAACTACAGTATTTCAATGTTATATGATTCATTGCATTTTCTACATATGTTATGTAATATTATATATACATATACATATATATATATATATATATATATATATATACATATTTACATACATATTTTTGCATATGATGCTAAGCTCATATAACGCCTGCTTTTTCAACGATATTTTAAATATAACAGGATTTAATATCGCAAAAATTATTTTGTAAAATGTCATAGTCATTTGCCATTCGAGTGCAAAGGGTTAAGCTGATTTCCGAATAAATCCAATCAACGTCGATCATCCACTTCTACGACATCGCTATGACACTTTCATCGGCCGCTCTTGAACGACAACGCCGCGGTAATCAAATGAAAATATTCACGAGCGAAAAATCCAATTTAATATCTACGAATTACAGATCTAGAGGCCGATTCAAAAATCACTTGATGCGCTGAGGATGCGCCGTGATTTCTGCAACGGTGGGCTTGCCTGCGCCGTTGTGTGGGTGTCATCGACCTGGCTGCTACTGTCTCTGTCGTCATCGGTCACAGCAGGTACGTTCGTTTCTTGTTTCTCTTTTTTTCTTTTTCTCGTATTTCCTTTTTTGTTCATCATTCCACGTCTCCTTTCCCCGTCATGTTATTTTATTTCTGAACGGGGCTCCACGGTTTTCGTCTCGCCGCTCCGAGTCGCGTCGCGACGCGGCTCGCCCGCCCGTAATGATTGGCCCCGAATTATTGAAAGAGCGGCCATTAGCAAACAATGGAGCTCTCCCGCGCGGCAGCGTTCACGTTCGCCGGCCGCCAAAAGAGAAAAAGGAAAGCGGGGCTTTCTCGAAACGGGTGTGCATCTGCATATAATGCGACGACGCCGCGGACGTGATCGGTTTTCGGAAATCGTCCTGCGGGCGGATTCGTCCTTGATGCCGCGAGAACCGCAGCCATGCTCGGGGACCCCTACCGAGCCTAACTTCCTCTGGCAAACCATTTCTTGCACGCTGCCCTAGACGATCCCCGTGCTCGAAAGTTTGAGCAACTCGTGGACGAAGAGTTGATTTCTCGTATATTTTTCAATGCGATGGAAAGATGAAAGCAACCGGTTTGTAACTCCGCGCAGGTTTTGGTTGTACAGCGGACTTCCGTGTAACGCGAATTCGTATAACGCGACGAAAATATTCCGACTAATACTCCATACAGCGCGAAAAACAGTCCTGTATAACGCGTAAGATAAATTTAATATTTTCACATAGTTACCGATTTTTCAAGCTCGCGAAGTAGCGGTTTATAAATAATAAAAACATGCGCTTCGTTATTTAACATTTATTCGCTGTCGGAGGTATCAACAAATAAGTTCCAACGACGCTGTTTCATTCATCGCTTGAATAGTCCATAGTTTCGTCTTGATTGTTATCGTTGATTAAAAACAGCTCTTTCTTCGGATCATTTACACTTTTTTCAGCGGAATTCTTTTGAGCAACGGACAATACGTTGTACCGAATTTTCCATGATATTGCTTTTTAAATATACGCTAGACTTACATATTTAGAGAACTAAATGTAATCTTTGTTTTTAATCATCAGACTATTTAGCAACGTCCTTATGAATTTAATCACTATACGTATGAATAAAATAGAGCTTATTTGCTTATTTGCAAGATTAAATACAGGCCACTTCGTTGTTTCTCCCGATGATTTGTAAATAAGTAATGGTGTAATTTTAATTAATTAATCAGTACTAATTGTTAATTTAATTAGTAAATAAGTAATTAAAAACTGTTCTTTCTGCAGATCATTTTTAGATCGAAAATATGGGGAAGAGATATACGAAGTGATAACTTGTAGATATGCGCTTTTTTATATATGATAACAGCAAAAAGTAATAATATTTACAGTAGAGTTTGTCGGATTTTATTTACTCTATTTTTTTACTTAGTAATTTCACTGTGCAGGCCATAATGTTTATATAAAGTAAGGAGATCAGATGCTGCCGAAACTGTGCCGAAAAAATAATGTTTCATAAGAGAAAAGTAATATCAGGCCAATTTGATGGTCGGCTGAAGCCGCTCCCCTTCGTGAATGATCGAGCACAGCTCGCAACGTTATATTTATCATTTTAAGAGTCGAAATTTGAGGAAAAGCAAAATCACCGGCTGTTATTAACCTTAAATTTACGAAGCACACACAAAAAACAGCTGTTTTATATATTAGTTTATAAAAGTAACAATAAGACATTTATTCTGATTATTAACAAGTGTTATTGTAACATATATAAATAACTCGTAAATGTATCTTTACGATACGAACAATCGGAAATAGTGACTCGTTATTTTGACGGATTTTGTAAATCTAGCGTTAAAACGACAAAAAATTTGTCCGGTAAAGCTAAAATTATCGCAATCATCGGAATTAGGACAAATTGCGCGTGTCAGTCAATTTTCGTAGCAGACGAGATATTAGGATAACGAAGATAGACTTATGATGTTAAATATAGATAACGTCGGGATGGAGCTTTTCGGTACACATAGTGGAGATTAATGGGGATTATAAGTAATAGAGGAGATTATGGTACCGGTTAGGACCGTTTAAATATTGATTGAAAGAATACCATTCGTATTCTCGTATTAACTAAATCCTTCATTAATTCAAACAATAAAACAGAAATTCAATTGAAAGAAACTTCAAGTAGAATGATATTTAAAGGTCAGCCTCTGACAGGCCCGTTGATGCTCTTCAAAACACTCCGACATTCGTACGTTTTTCCATTAATTTTCCTAAGGAGATAAAATTTAATAAATAAATACAAACGAAAAAACGAAACGTGATCCTGTAAACAACCGTGACTGGCATAAAGCAATATTCGAAGTATGGGAATATTCGTTTCGAACAAAACGTCGATAATTCCTCGCAGCAGTGTCGCGTCTTCATTTTAAAATGTAGGCATCGGCCGCACATCGACACGTTGTCGCCTAGATTGTGACATAAATCTGATGATAAATCATTGCCATAATAGAGGCAGTAATTTCTCCCTAATTCGCGCTCAGATTGTGCACAAAAATGGACAATTTGGGAAGAGGAGTCACGATTGTTCGAGGCTTGCGACTTGCTTTTTATAGTTACCGATCGTCAACAACTATAAAAATGTGACATAAACGCAGGGCTCGAATAATCGTATCTCCCCTTTGTCCTCCCAAATTATCCATTTTCGTGCGCGATCCAAGCGCGAATTAGGGAGAAATTACTGTAATTCCGTAGATACTGAATTATCTACGCCGTGCTTGCTCCAGCAATGGAGACCGATGAATCAAACTTTTCCTGATCGGAACACGCTGCTTCTGTTAATATTATCGCGACATCAATTTATATTGGCTATCGGCATCGACGTTTCAGTAACTCGCGAACCATCTTTTCGCGACTGAAATGTTCATGCGACCGTTTCGAGACCCGTCCAGTTGTCGGCCATGTAATATTTAAACAGCAAATACTCCGGAAATGGGAGTACTGGAATATCGGCCGGCAGAAGCGGCGTTCAGTTAATAATCACTCGATCGTAGCGAGCATTAAATCATTCTGAATTCAGCAGGTGAATCGGGACGAGGCAACAAGGGGGGGGGGGCGACATCGATGCGGACGAGACAGTGCAGCGTCTCTAATCAATGAGTTAATTATTTGCCGGGGAGATTATACCGCGGGCAACCACGTCCTGCCTCAGGATAAATCACGTACTTAACGAGACGTTAATTACAAGGTTAAATTGCTAGCCATGGATGCTCCGTCGGGTTAATCAATTCCCGGGTGCGTTGCGCCGGGACACACGGGTCCTTTCCGCGAATATTAGAGACCGTTCGCGTTGATTGCCAATAATCGGACTGCAGGCTATTATGCGATTTCGGATTATCGCGCTGGATGAACGAGTACGCCGGATGCGACGAGTCGCGCGAAAGTCCTTATGGCGAACTGAATCGAAAATCTGGGACAAAACGATGCTGCGATGATCGTTCGCGACGACTGCGACTTCGGAAGTTTATTTATTAGTCGGTTTTCATTGTACAAATCCTGGAGATAGTATTCGAACAGCTTTTAAAACGCGATAACTTTTTTTAAGCTAGATTAAACGACTTGAATTTTTTAGAGATCTTAACGGGACTAGTTTATTGAACAATGGCTGAACATTTGTTTTTTAAATCACAATTACTTGGAACGACAAAAGGAGATTCAGAAACTCGCGTTTTTGAAGTTGTGCAAAATGCACTTTTTTAAATTTTCGTTCCAGGCTGAAATAAGAATGCTGAAATTCGCAGGTTTCTTATTTCACTCGTTATTCCAACCAGTTGCGCAGTTTCGAAAAGAAATGTCATGGACACAGTCCCTCCAGCATCTCAAAAGATACAAATCATTTGGTTCGATTTTTAAAAAAGTTATTCCGCTTTAAACAGTGCAAAATTCGGTCACCGGGGTTTCCATGTGAGACGCGTAAATAATATTCAATCATCACTGTTCGGAGCCTACGAGCTTTCTTGTCTCGAAAATACAAATCGTCGCAGCAGCAACAGCCGTAAAATGGGATCGCTTAAATTCTGGGATATATCCCGAGGAAGCAAAAAATCGTGTGAAATATTGGCTCAACGGGGCCGTAAATTAGCCGCGTTTCTAAAAATCTGATATTCGTCGCTCGAGGTTTATCTACGGTCCACGGATGTTCACGTGGATCTCCGATTACCTGGACCGTAACACGAGAGCCCGGGTAACAGAAAAGAATGCTATGCCTCATAGAAGAATTTATGAAAATAGCGGTGCAATGAATATCGCGCGAATTTCGCTGCGAATATAATTTTTCGTTTAGTATATTTTATGCGACTCGTTGTAGCTGCGAGCGAGCGAAATCCATGGTCTGCTTGCGTTTCCACTGTTTCGTAACCGGCGTTGGAAAATAATTGCGCGGAAACGGGGAACAAAATCATCGATCAGATTTAATGAAAGCGAGCCCGACCGTCGAATCCATCCTTATCGGGGCTCGTCTGTTCGTATGGGGAATGAGTCGCGAAAGTATTTGGACGCTTTCGAACGAAACACTCGTTGTTCAACAAATGCGAGAGTCAACTTTCGCTTCGACAATAACACATAAGCATCCCAGTTACGCGTATGAAATTCATTTATGGATAGAAATCGACTGAGCAAATCATTTGTAGATCGTAACAGAACAGGTAGAAATGCATGATTTATAACATCAAATACAGGATGGGCCGGAATTTGTGGTACAACCGAGCAGAGGGTGATTCTACATTCAAAAAAAGTAAGAAACAAATTAGATATAACATTTTTTTATTCGGGGCTCCGTTTTCGAGAAAATGGACTTTAAAGTTTGTTCATCTTTGTAAAGGATTTACAGTAAATTTTCTCCAATTGTCCCTCAGCTTGTAAACGAAAAAGCTCCGAACAGTGATGATCAAATATTACTTACGCGTCTCACATGGAAACCCTGGTGACCGAATTTTGCGCTGTTTAAAACGGAATAATTTTTTTAAAAATCGAACCAAATGATTTGTATCTTTTGAAATG